GTTTTAGGAACTGCAAACAGAACAAGTTCGCTTTTAGGGTTTAGGGTTTGGGGTTTAGGGTTTAGGGTTTAGGGTTTAGGGTTTAGGGTTTAGGGTTTAGGGAGGTTTGGGGTTTAGGGTTTAGGGTTTAGGGTTTAGGGTTTAGGGTTTAGGGTTTAGGGTTTAGGGTTTAGGGGGGTTTAGGGTTTAGGGTTTAGGGTTTAGGGTTTAGGGTTTAGGGTTTAGGGTTTAGGGTTTAGGGTTTATGCAGGGCGCGGGAAACACCCCCGCGTTGGTGAACAGTTTGTTGACTTCGCTGTGCAACATTTCGCCCTTCAGCGCGCCTCGCTCTGTCTCCTGAGATCGTCGATGAGGCGTTCCGTTTGGGTGTTGTCTTTTTCGGCCTTTTCGAGTGCAGCAGCAGCAGCAGCGGCAGTAACTCACTTAATTAATTAATTAATTAATTAATTTGTTAATTGATCTTTAGCTGGCTTTTTAGTTTGCTGCTGCTGCCGTTGAAGCAGCACAGCGGGGAAGCAGCAGCAGGAGCTCGTGCTGCACTAGCTACAACAGCAGCAGCAGCAGCAGCAGCAGCCGCAGCAACAGCAAAAGCAGCAGCAGCAACAGCAGCAGCAGCAGCAGCAACAGCAGCAACAGCAGCACCAGCAAGAGCAGCAGCAGCAACAGCAGCACAAGCACCAGCAACAGCAACAGCAGCAGCAGCAAAAACAGCAGCAGCAACAGTAGCAGCAGCAACAGCAAAAAGACCAGCAGTAGCACCGCAAGAAGCAGCAGCAGCAGCAGCAGCAGCAGCAGCAGCAGCAGCAGCAGCAGCAGCAGCAGCAGCAGCAAGAGTCGGACCTCTACTTCTCGCGTGTCCAGAGTTGCATTTTGCAATTTATTGTTTTGATTTTCAATTTCTTTTTTTATTTTCATTTCTGCTGCTGCTCTTCGCTCGAGGCCCTGCATGCAGCTGCCCAGCTGGATCCGCAGCTGCTTCTTTCCTGCTGCTATTTCCTCTATCTCCCCTGCAGCAGCAGCAGCAGCAGCAGCAATAGTGGCAGCAGCAGCAGCGGCAGCAGCAGCAGCAGCAAAGGCGACAAAAGTAAAAGCAGCAGCAATAACGGAAGCAGCAGCAGCAGCAGAAGACGAGGTCTGCTGCTGCAGCTGCTGCTGATATTGCTGCAACGGCAGCAGCAGGAACTGCCTGGCAGAGCAGAAGCAGCAGCAGCAGCAGCAGCAGCAGCTGCTGCTGCTGCTGCTGCAGGAGCAGCAGCAGCAGCAAGGGCGTACGCTGGGCTTCTTGAATGGCGTTTTTGGAGTTTTGTTTGTCTTCTTCTTGAGCTTTAATTTGAACTTTCAAAAGATCTTTTAATTCATTTAATTCAAAAACTTGATTATTTAATTTATTTAAAAAAAGATCTTGCTGCAGCCGCAAACTTTCTGCTGCCTTTGCTGCTGCTGCTTCCTTGTAGGTCTCCCGGCGCTTCAGCTGCGCGCAGCAGCAGCTGCTGCAGCAGCAGCTCTTTTAGTTTCCGCTATTTGCTGCTGCAGCAGCAGCACTTTTAGTTTTTACTATTTGCTGCGGCAGCAGCAGCTCTTTTTTATTTTTGTTATTTGCTGCTGCTGCAGCAGCAGCAGCTCTTTTTTATTTTTATTATTTGCTGCTGCTGCAGCAGCAGCTCACTTATTTTTTGCTTTTTCTTTTTCTACCTGCTGCAGCCTGCAGCTCACCTCCTTCTACCGCAAAACCTGCTGCTGCTGCTGCTGCTGCTGCTGCTGCTGCTGCTGCTGCTGCTGCTGCTGCTGCTGCTGCTGCTGCTGATTCCTGTTATTACCTTGATAGCATCTTCTAGTTTCTGGGTGTGTCCCTGTGCTTTTTGCAAAACAAAATTTAATTCATTTAAATCTTCTCTGGCCTTGGCTAGCTGCTCTGCTGCTGCTGCTGCTGCTGCAGTCTCCGCATGCAGCGCTTGTGCAGCAGCAGCTAGCGCCTCCTCGCTAGCGGCCCGTCTCTAGAAAGCAGCAGCAGCAGCAGCAAACGCAGCAGCAGCAGCAACGGCATCAGCAGCAGCAGCAGCAGCAGCAACAAAGGCATCAAGCCACGAGCAGAAGGAGCAGAAACTGCAAGACCCGCAGTAGCTGCTGCTGCTGCAGCAGCAGTAGCTGCTGCTGCTGCTGCTGCAGCAGCAGCGATAGCAGCACCAGCAGCAGCACCAGCACACTAGCACTGGCACAAGCAGCAGCAGCAGCAGCAGCAGCAGCAGCAGCAGCAGCAGCAGCAGCAGTTACTTGTTTGACAGTTTTTTCTTCTTCAGCCACTTGGTTAATTCTTGCTTTGAGTCTTTTTAACTTTTGCTGCTCCTCATAAAGCTGCTTCCCAGTTTCTTCGTGCTGCAGATCGACCTTTTGCTGCTCCGCCTTTTGCTGCTGCAGCGCGTGCTGCAGCTGCTGCAGCTGCTGCTGCTGCTGCTGCTTCAGTGCTGCTTGAGCCCCCCTCAGCAGCGGGTGGTCCGGCGGGAGTCCTGAGGTGTACGTACACCTCAAGTGCTTTGAGTTTTAATTTATTATTTTATTTTTTTAAATTAATTAAAGTTTAGTTTTTTATTTTGAATTAAAATTCAACTTTTAATAAAAATAAATTAAATTTGCAATTCAAAAACAAACTTTGTTATTTGTTTCTATCTTTCGATTAAATTAATTATTAATCTTTTTTAATTTTAAATTAATTACATTTTAATTCATTTTTAATTCTTTGATTTTAATTAATAGATTAATCTTTTTATTTTAATAAATAATCATTTTTTATTTTTTTATTTTTCCTTTTTTTGTCTGCCACATAAGTCCTTTTGCTGCTGCCTTTGCAGCAGCAGTTTATTTCATTTAGTGTTTTCTTTTTGATTTAATAATTTGTTATTTTATTTATTTTTATTCATTTTTAATTATTTTTAATTAATTTTAATTACTTTTAATATTTATTTATATTTTCATTTATTTGTCTTTTTATTTTTATATATTTTGCTGTTTAGCTGCAAATTCTCGCCTGGATGCCCCGGGGCTGCCAGCTGCTGCTGCTGCTGCTGCAGCAGCTGCTGCTGCTGCTGCACCTCCATCATTTTTGTTTCTTTTATTTCTCCCCTTTGTTTTGTTTGTCTTCTTTTTGATTCTTTTTATCTTTTTTTGTTTAAGTATTTTTGCTTCTTTTGCTGCTTCTGCTGCAGCAGCAGCAGCTCCAACGGGCAGCTGCTGCAGAGGGTAGCAGCAGCACAAGCAGCAGCACAGCGTGTCACATAGCAGCAGCAGCAGCAGCAGCAGCAGCGCAACCATGCACCACAGCTGCAGGCGCAGCTGCAGCAGCAGCAGCAGCAGCAGCAGCAGCAGCAGCAGCAGCAGTCCGTTTTATCGATTCGCTAGTCAGTTGTCTCCCATAATATGAATAGCAGTTTGTGGACTTGTTAATTAATTAATTAATTAATTAATTAATTAATTTGCAACTACTTATATATATAATTGCAATTGAAAAAGGCAAAAAGAAGGAACTATTACTTGTTTGTGCTGCTGTACACAAGTACCTTAGAGCAGCTCGAGATCTACTTTGTTTGTTTTTGCAAAAAGGCCAAAAGTGTTTCGAAAATACCAAAAAAGGAATTTATTTTTAATTTAAATCTTTTAGCTTTCTTCTTCTCGCGAAGAAAAGGAAGAAGAAGCAAAATTCATTTGCTGCAGCAACTGACACACGAGCGCATGCAGCCCCAAAGCCCCGCAGCAGCTTTTCCTTTTCATTTTGTTGCTGCTGCTCGCAACTCCGAATTTAATTTCTAATTTATAAAAGTGTTTTAATTTTAAATTCAAAAAAAAGAAAAAACGAGGGTTTGTTCCTCCGCGGTCCCGAGGTGTACGTACACCTCAGGAAGACCGGCGGTGTACGTACACCTCAACAAGACCAGCGACCGCCAGCGCCTGAACTTCCGATTTTGAGCAAAACTAATTCTCAAGTTGAGACTTTAGCTTTTTAGGATTAATTTAGAGTTTTATTTTGCATTTTTAACCCATTTGGCCCTCAAGGGGCCCCTCAAGGGCCCCTTACAGGGTCACCTGGGGCCCCCAATTGAAGGCCCCCTGGGGGCCCCAACTAGGGGCCCCTGGAGGGCCCCCAATTAGGGGCCCCTGTGGCCGCCCAACTAGGGGCCCCAGGGGCCCCAGGTGATCCCCAATGGGGGCCCTCCAGGGGCTCCTAAATGGGGGCCCCCCAGGGGCCCCAATGAGGGGCCCCTGGGGGGCCCCTCGTTGCCCCCCAGGGGCCCCTCGTTGGGGGCCCCCCAGGGGCCTCTCATTGGGGGCCCCACAAGGGGCCCCCAGTTGGGGGGCCCCAGGGGGCCCCCCATTAGGGGCCCCCAGTGCCCGACTGGAGGACTGAAATGGATTTTTAGATTTTGTAGATTCAGTTGTATATTGCAAACGGGTGCTGCGGTGTACGTACACCTGAGTTGGTGGGTACTGCTGTTTGCAAAGAAACCTTGCACGGCATTTATTTAAAGTTTTATTTCTTTTCTGCTTTGTTTGCGAATTAAAAAGGCATTTTATTTTATTCAATTTTTAATATTTGCAGGAGAGGGACTGCTGCAAATTATAATTCTGCATAAAAGTTCATTTTGTGTTTCTTTTTCACTTTATTTATTTAATTCTTTCCGTTTAATTCAGCTTTCTTTTCTTTTTTATTTATTTATTTGACTATTTCCATTTAATTCGACTTTCTTTTATTTATTTATTTCTTTCCATCTAATTCAACTTTCTTCTTCGAGCCCTTTACTCCGGGTGTACGTACACCGCAGCGGCCTCTGTGGGGTTTTGCCCCGCTTTGAATTCGCCACTTTTTGAAATTCTTTTTTCTGCTTTTGGGCCAACAAGTGGCCACAATATCGATTAAAGTCCATTTAATTCATCAAAAGTGCATTTAATTCACCAAAAGTGCATTTAATTCATCAAAAGTTCCTTTATTTTCATCAAAAGTTCCTTTTAATTCAATTCTTTTCCCCTTTTTGGCCCCCCACTGCCCTGTAAAAGGCCCTTATTTCCGCATCTGCTGCAGCATCACCAGTGTAAGCCTCAGCCCCCAAACCCATTTCATCTGCCAGCCACCCGGGGGCCCCGGGGGCCCCAAAAAGCCCGCTGGACCCTCCGGGGGCCCCGGGGGCCCCAGGGGCCCCAGGGGCCCCCGGGATTTCTGGGGCCCCGGGGGCCCCAGGGGCCCCAGGGGCCCCTGGGATTTCTGGGGCCCCAGGGGGCTCTGGGGCCCCAGGGGCCCCTCCAGGGGCCCCCCTAGGGGCCCCAGGTATATCGAGGGTCTCAGGTACCCTGGAGGCCCCAGGGGCCCCCAGGGCCCCCAGTTTCTTAGGGTCCTCTAGGTCTGAAAGGGGGGGCCCCAGGGCCCCCAAAGAGGGCAAATCCTGAAGGGTAAATGAGGCCTTTGAGGCCCCTGAAGCCTCCAGGGTACTGGGGGCCCCCAGGGTACTGGGGGCCCCCAGGGTACTGGGGGCCCCCAGGGTGCTGGGGGCCCCCAGAGTGCTGGGGGCCTCCAGGGTACTGGGGGCCAGGGTACTGGGGGCCCCCAAGGTACTGGGGCCCCCCTGGGTACTGGGGGGCTCCAGGGTACTGGGGGCCCCCAGGGTGCTGGTGGGGGCCCCCAGGGTACTGGGGGCCCCCAGGGTACTGGGGGCCTCCAGGGTACTGGGGGGCCCCAGGGGGCCCCCCAGTTGGCTTAGAGGCTGCTGCTGCAGCGTTTCATTATTCTTTGAATTGGTCTCAGTTTCGCTTTCTTCTTTGAAGTCATTTATTCCGCTAAAAGAGTCCATAAAAGGGAAAATGGGGGCCCCCATGGGAGGCCAGTCCACGAAGCTTGGGGCCTCCGCTGCTGCTGCTGCTGCTGCTGCTGCTGCTGCTGCTGCTGCTGCTGCTGCTGCTGTTTCTTTCTGCGTGTTCAGAGTTGCTGCTGTGGGGGAAGAAGCGGCGTTTGCGCTGCTGTCCCCCAAGGAGGGAAATAGGGGCGGGAGCGCCAGCGTGCCGCCTCCGCTGCTGCTGCTGCTGCTGCTGCTGCTGCTGCTGCTGCTGCTGCTGCTGCTGCTGTTTGCGCGGGCGATTGTGTTGAACCACCTCTGGAAGTCCTGCTGCAGCTGCTTCCTGCTGCGCTCGAGAGTGAGGTGGACTCTTTTCATTTCTTTTTTGGTTTTGTTTAGTTTTTCAATCCAAGAAATATATTCATTTCTGTCTTTTTCGACTTGCTGCAGCAGCAGCGCCTCTCGGGGGCAGTCCTCTGCTGCAGCTTCGGGTGTACGTACACCCTGCAGGTGCTGCCGGATCTTCAGCTTCTCCAGCTGCGCCCGCGCTGCAGCAATTCTTTCTTTTGCTGCTGCTGCTGCTGCTCGCTGCCCCTCAGCAGCAGCAAACAGCTGCTGCAGCAGCAAACAATCTGCTTCCACAAATTCACACTTCCGGGCACTTCGCCGCAGCACTTCCAAAGCTTTTCCCCTTTCCTTCAAAAGTGCTGTGGCTTCAGGCCCAGCTAGCCAGGGGGCCCCCTGGGGGCCCCCCTGGGGGCCCCCCTGGGGGCCCCCCTGGGGGCCCCCCTGGGGGCCCCCCTGGGGGCCCCCCTGGGGGGCCCCCTCGGGGGCCCCCTGCCGCTGGGGGCCCCCTGGGGGCCCCCCTGGCGTTGGGGGGCCCCCCGGGGGGCCCCCTGGGGGCCCCCCCGGGAGCAGCTGCGGGGCCCCCGGCGGAGCCCCTGGGAGGGGGCCCCCCAAGCTGCTGCTGCGGTGGCGGGGGGGCCCCCTAACTGCTGCTTCGACTGCAGCACGAGTGACAGCAGCAAGAGGGTCTCTGCCAGAGTCTGCTGCTGCTGCTTCCGAGCTGAAGTGAATAATTCCCAGCAAAGTGGCAATCTCTGCGTCTCGCTGCTCTATGTGCAGCTGCAGCAGCTGCAGCGCCTGGTGGCACTCGCTGCTGCTGCAGCGCCCGCTGCTGCTGCTGCTGCAGCAGCAGCTGCTGCTGCTGCTGCTGCTGCTGCTGCTGCTGTTGGTGTTTGCTGCTGCTAGGGCTTGTCTGTATTTGTCGCGGAGCAAGTTGAAGCAGTAAGCAGCTAGGCGCAGGTCTTTTGCTGCCACGAGGGTTTCTTGCTGCTGCTCTGCAGCAGCAGCAGCAGCAGCAGCAAGGAAAGAGTCGACTTCTGCAGCACACCACTGCTTCTCGACTTCAGTGAGTTCGGTTTGCTGCTGCAGCAGTTCCGCTGCTGCTGCTGCGTCCCCCTGCTGCTGCTGCTGCTGCTGCAGCTGGCCGAGGAGGACCCCGCGGGGCTGGTGCAGCGGGATCTGCTGCTGCTGCTGCTGCTGCAGCTGCTGCAGCTGCTGCTGCAGGCGTCGGTTCTCGCGCTGCAGCCGCAGCAGCAGCAGCGCGGGGTCTTCTTCCTCGTTGACTTGCGCGGAGTTTTGGACTTTCGAAACCACTTGTGCAAATTTTAAAGTTTTAAAAGTTTCTAAAATACTTTTTGCTTCCAAAGTTGCTGTTGCTATCATCCGAGTTCTGCAGTTGCCCCCCAAGGAGTCCTTCAGCACGGAAGTCAGCAGCGAGTTCCGGTACGGCACGTGTCTGCTGCTGCTGCTGCTGCTGCTGCTGCTGCTGCTGCTGCTGCTGCTGCTGCTGCTGCTGCTGCTGCTGGTTTGCTGCTGCTGCTGCAGCGCGAGGATGACTTGTTCGAGGTAGTGGAGGGACAAGTTGATGCTGCAGGTTTCTTGGAAAAGAGTGTTTTTGGAGTTGTTGGAAAAAGTCTTTTGGAAGTTATTTTCGGAGAAGTTTTGAGAAGAAACTTTGTTTCTTTCGGACCCCGCCAAGTCCACCAAGTGCAGCTTGGCCCTCCTGCTGCTGCTGCTGCTGCTGCTGCTGCTGCTGCTGCTGCTGCTGCTGCTGCGGGCGCGGCTGGCGATCCAGAGAGTGAAGATGCAGTGGGACCTCGTGGAAGTTTGGTTTCGAAAAGTTTCGGAAATAGTTCTGTTGGCATCTCCGAGAAAAAGAAGTTGGAGGGCCTCTTCTTCGGAGGCGACGGGGTGTACAGACAGCCCGCGCAGCAGCAGCTGTCCGCGCGCGTCCGCCGCGGCCTCGACTCTGCGACTTTGCGCAGCAGTTGCTGCTGTTGCTGCTGTTGCTGCTGTTGCTGCTGCTGTTGCTGCTGTTGCTGCTGCCAGCAGGTCAAAACCCCTTTCCTGGTAGATCTCCAAATAAGAAACTCCAATCCAAAAGTCAGCAGCACGAGCGGGAGCAGCAGCAGCTTCGAAGACCCTCGCGAGCGCCCGCGGGATTATCCCGCGCTGCGCGAACCCCCCGCTGCTGCTGCTGCTGCTGCTGCTGCTGCTGCTGCTGCCGCTCATGGTGAAGGTCTTGCCCGAGCCCGAGGGCCCGTAGGCAAAGACAGTCCCATTGACCCCTTTTAACGCAGAGTCCACGAGGGACTCCGCCACAACTCGAAAGACTTCTTCTTGGGAACTCTGAGGCCCCAAAACTCCGTCAAATTGGAAAAAATGCTCTTTAAAACTGTCTCCAAGTCCTCCAAATGGCACTTTTACTTTTATGGACTTTCCCGCCACCCGCAAAGCCCCGCCGCTCTCCCCCGGTCGCAGCCGTACGTACACCTCAATGCCCCCGGGCCCGCAGCCGCTTTCCTCCATTTCTTTTTATTTCTTTTTTTTTCTTTTTTTCTTTTTTTTCTTTTAATTCTTTTTTCTTTTTCCTTTCTTTTAGTTCTTTTGTTTTGCTTTTGTTGTTCTTTCTTTTAATTCTTTTTGGTTCACTTTTGGCTTTCCTCCATTTCAGGTCTTTTTTGTTCTTTTTATTCCTTTTTGTTTCTTTTTAATTCACTTTGTTCTTTCTTTTAATTCTTTTGTTGCGCTTTTGTTGTTCTCTCTTTTAATTCTTTTATTGCATTTTTGTTGTTCTTTCTTTTAATTCTTTTTGCTTTACTTTGTTCTTTCTTTTGTTTCTTATTGCTTCACTTTTGGCTTTCCTTTGTTGTTCTTTCTCTTTCAGTTGTTCTTTACTTCATGTCTTTTTTGTTCAAGTTGTTCTTTACTTCTTGTTGTTCTTTGTTTCAAACTCTTCTTTATTTCAAATTACTTTTATTTCAAATGTTCTTTATTTCAAATTACTTTTATTTCAAATGTTCTTTATTTTCAATTACTCTATTTTAAATTACTTTATTTTAAATTACTTTATTTCAGATTATTTACATTTCAGATTGTTCTTCGTTTCAAAAATTCTTCATTTCAAATATTTTTTTGTCTTCAGAATTTAAATTTTCCATTTTTAATTCTCTTGCTTTTTATTGCCATTTCAAAATGCATGCAACTCATTCATTCATGCGCTGCGCCTTCGCACGAGGCTCGACGTTCTATTTAGGGTTTAGGGTTTAGGGTTTAGGGTTTAGGGTTTGGGGTTTAGGGTTTGGGGTTTGCTCTGTCTAGAGGCAACCTGCTTCAGCGGCGTTCACGCCATCACCTCAAGACTCTTCAGACAGAAATCTGATTCTTCTTTTAGGGTTTAGGGTTTAGGGTTTAGGGTTTAGGGTTTAGGGTTTAGCGGTGTGGTAGCTTTCCTGCTGCATGCAAACAGTCAAAAGGCTTAGAAGGCAGCTCCAGCTTTCAAAACCCTAAACCCGAAACACTTTGTTGCAGTTGAAAATTAAAAGACATGCATAAGAGGTAAACTCCCCTAGACCCTAAACCCTAAACCCTAAACCCTAAACTCTCACTGCTTTGGAACTGCTGAGTGTGCTGCTGCTGCTGCTGACACACAGGTGGCTAGAAGGCCAGAGGTCTCGGGCCTGGGGCCAAGGGGTTTAGAGCTCGGAGCAGCAGCAGCAGCAGCAGCAGCAGCAGCAGCAGCAGCAGCAGCTTCGCTTGCTGCAGCTGCCCCTCCGCCGCGTTTGGCAATTTGAGCTGTGGGAATGAGCAGTTTGTGGGAGGAGAAGCAGTTATTGTTGGCCTTGTAAAAACTCTTGGTTTGAAATAATTAAAAAGAATTGATTTGGAATAGTGAAGACAGTTACGTGGCCTGTGGCTGCGAGTAAAGCCAGCAAAATGCCCCAGTGTGTACATACACCCCAGATCCGCTGCAGCGGGAACTTCGTGGGCAGCTCCAGCTGCTCTTCTGCCGCCGCTTTGAGAAAATGTGGAAAATAAAAAAGACTTTTAAAATTAAAGACTAAAAATAAAAAGAAAAAGAAAGAAAGGCCGGAGGAAGTTTGAATTCGAGCGAGAGTTGAATGGTCAGGTCACCTGGTTCCACCGGGCCGGACACCGTGGGATCTGAACCTTCGAATTGGAATCCGGGAAAACAATTTAGTAATTTGAAAAGCAAATTTAAAATAATATTTATTTTTCGAAAATTTAAAAAAATTAAAAGAGCCGCTCCCCAGAGAACTCAAAGACGATCGGTTTCTCCGATTGCATTTGCAGCCGCCGCTTAGCCGCGCCGACTCCTCAGCAGGTGCAGCTTTCGGCAGTTCCACTCAATTCATCGGAGCAAAATGAAATAAAATTGCAAATTAAATAAATAATAAAAGAGTTTTTAAAAGCTAAAACAACTGGAGTGAAGAGAAGCGAAGTTTTCACTGCGGGCGTCGCCTCAGCCTGCATGCATGCAGCGCCAGGGGGCCAAACCCCCCTTCATCTTGGCGTAACTGAGCCAAAAATAATCCTTTATCTTCTTTTTTCAAATATTTATTTATTTATTTATTTATTATTTATTTATTTCGCGCAAAAAGCGGCTTTTTGGACCTCCCAGACCCTCCAAACTCCCGAAGTCTTCAAAAAAAAGAAATCCCAGAAAGCCAGTAGGCGCTTTCATTATTTCTTTCGCAAATTCAAAATCCTGCTAACTTGACCATCAGCACAAATCCAAAAAGAACATTTTCTTAAACTGATTTCTTCCTTTTATGTAGACTTTGGATCCACGGATCATCCTAAACCCTAAACCCTAAACCCTAAACCCTAAACCCTAAACCCTAAACCCTAAACCCTTAACGCTGTGTAACAGAGACCGCGCCGCTGTAGGCACTGCTAGCCTGTTTGCAACTGAACTATATGCATACATATATATATATATATATTTCAGGGGTTTATTTTAGGGTTTTAGTAATCAGGGTTTAGGGTTTAGGGTGTAGGGTTTAGGGTTTAGGGTTTAGGGTTTATGGCTTGATTATGGGAGTTAGGGTTTCAGGCCTAAGCAGCTCCCCAAGGACTTGCTTTGGCCTTCATGAGATTTTCATCTCCTCAATGGAGTAAATTGTGTTTCTATTCCGCTAAAAATTAGCTGCTGCTGCTGCTGCTGCTGCTGCTGCTGCTGCTGCCGTTGCTGCTGCTGCTGCCGTTGCTGCTGCTGCTGCTGCTGCTGCAGCTCCTTTGAGACCAAACCAAAATGGAAGACATAAAGTACGAGCGCATATTTTGCGCAGAACAAATCAATGTGCCGCCTACTCTTCCCGTGATTCTGAAGCAGCTTACCAAGGCTGTGAGGCTGCTGCTGCTGCTGCTGCTGCTGCTGCTGCTGCTGCTGCTGCTGCTGCTGCTGCTGCTGCTTCTGGTTTCGCTAGCTGCTGCAACTGCTTTACTAGGTACTGCTACTGCTGCTGCTGCTGCTGCTGTGTTCGTTTTTGGCACTACTGCTGCTGCTGCTACTGCTGCGCCGTTTTTTATACTGCTGTTGCTGCTGTTGCTCTCCTTTCTAGGGCACTGCTGCTGCTGCTGCTGCTGCTGCTGCGTTGGTTTTGAGCACTGCTGCTGCTGCTGCTTTGGATTTGAGCCTTGCTGCGGTGGCTGCCTCGGGCTTCAGCTGCTGCTGCTGCCACCAGCTTGGCTTTGGTCTGCTGCTTCTCCCCTGCAGGTTTATTTCCTTTATTCTGCTGCACTATTTAACAAAATTAATTTTAAAAATAAAAAAGAAAAAAGCTGCTGCTGCTGCTGCTGCTGCTGCTGCTGCTGGTCTTTTGGACTTTCTTTAGGTCATTCGGGCAAACCCAACGAGCGGCATGAGTGTCACTGGTAGGCTTCGGGATTTTTGATTTGATTTGAGTTATTTTTGTTTTAAATTGAATTAAAAATAATAAAAATAAATATAAAAATAAATATTTAAACTCTTAAAAACAAATTTAAACCTTTGAATCGGCAAAAATGAGACGGCTTGCTGCTGCTGCTGCTGCACTTGGCTCTCCAGAGGGAAACTTGGTGGATTACAAACTTTACGAATTCTGCTATAAGTTCTTTTCTGCAAAAGTGGAAGGTTAGTTGAATATTATTTGTGAAAAGAAGCAGAAAAAGAGCATGCAGGGGCCTCGGCAGCTGCAGTTGTGGAAACTTGAATTTGCAATTCAAGTTCTTGAATTGGAATTCAAGACTTCCAATTCAACTTTTTGAAGTTCCATTTGCTGCGCCTTTTTCAAATCTTTTCGCTGCAGAAAGAACTGCGGCTTCGGCCGAAAATGCAGAACAAAATTAAAACGGAATTCTCCTT